GTGGTACCAATTGAAAACATTTAGGCGTATGAGCATCTAAATTATATGGAGAGACCGATTACAATCTTGGATAGGAAGACGAAGACCTTGCACAACAAGGTGGTGAGTCTAGTAAAGGTATATTAGTATTACCAGAAGGATTCTAAATGGACTTGGGAACTCAAGCAAGAGATGCGCAAGCACTACCTAGAGCTTTTTTCGCATCAAATTTCAAGGGTGAAATGTGATTCAAGTGGAGAGAGTTATAACATCCTTATTCCCAGTACGTAAATTATCTTGGTCTTGTTTTGTATGATTCCCTGAAATCTAAAAAAAAACTAAAGAAATTAGAATTTTTTATAGGGAGCACGGCACGCCCGACCCATTGGTTAAGCGTTTATTAGGGTTTTAAGGCTACTTATATAGTCTTACATCCCTAAGGTCGGATCAGTTGTGGCCTCCATAAACCCTAGAGAGAGTATTTAGAAACCCTAGCCCCTTTCTCTCCTATTTTGAGCTTGGTTTCACCTTGACATCTTATCTTTCTTTGATTTATGCATGAAGCTTGAATATAAATATTTCCTTTAGAGCACTGACATAAAAAGAAAGTGTACATCTAGCAAGTTTTCACCTTCCTTGAACCTTTGTGAGTATAAAGCTTTAGGCGTTATTCTTTTTTTTTTCTAGATCTTTCTTATTGTCTATTTTATACACTTTTGGTCCCATTTTGGTGGTAAGCTTGGAGTTGAGATGAATCCATCTCCTTTTGAACACTAAGGGTTGTTTTGTGGACCACATGGACTTGGAAACTTGGTAACTTATGTGTGTTCTCTTAGCCATGCAAGTTGTGTTGTCATTTTAGGTCTTTTTGATGTTTAAATTTTAGATCTTGTTGGATTGTAGTGTCTTAATGGATAAAGTTGGAAACTTTATCCATTAAGACACTGTTAAGGACCAAATATAGAAATTTTGGCGATTGACTTATTGGAATGAGCTATTTTTCCTTATGAATATGGCTTGCGCGCAGTGTGTCTTTCCCACGAGCGATGTGCCTTTCTGAATTATCTAGAACGCGATTGTTTCAGCTTAGAGACCCAACTGTTTTGTCATTTAGTATGCACGAGGCCTCTTTATGAGGCGTAGGGAACCTGTTTGATGAAATTGTTGACTTTTTAACTTTTTAACTGAGTTTCACTTTAGATTAAACTTTAGGCTTTGAGGTCTTAAATTGAGGTTTGACCTTTTATTTTATGTTCAAATGGTTTTTGTACCATCCTTCACATACTGCGAGTTATGACGATTATCTGGTTGCCTGTGAGGTGTGTTTTCTCATTATACTTTGTAGGATACTAGTTGTCTTGGTATGCTAGATTTTCTTTGTGAAATTTTTATGAAAGACCATGTTTGGCCCATGGAATTTGTATGAAAGACTATGTTTTGGCACATAGCAGGCAAGATTGTTTTGGCACATAAAATGAAGTGATTGTAAGATTATATTCAGCATATAGTATTCACATGGGTTAGAACAGACCCATTACAATTATGTATTGTTATAGATGGTATGTGGTATCTTGGGAAACTCACTAAGCTTTGTGCTTATGGTTTAAGTTTAAATGGTTCAGGTACTTCTGGTAGTAAAGGAAAGAGCTTGACTGGATCACCTCACATCCATTAGAGATTCCACACTATTTATTTAATGTATTTCTATGATGTTTGTTGAGACTACATTATATATACTTTTATTATCTTTTGATGGAATCGAAATGAATGGATTTATTTTATTTTAAAATGAAAAAAAAATACTTTGTATTTTTGGGATGTTACATGGTCCCTTTTTGGTCATTATTCTATGGAGTTTGGAAAACTCAAGGTCCTTTTATGTTTCTAATTGATCTTTTGGATTCTTTGAGATGTTTTAAGTCCATGTTTGTCTTTCCATTGCATCTATACAAGAATTTTGAGCCATTTCAGGATATTTATGAGTTAGTGTTTGAAAATTAGATTATTTGGGTCATGGATATGGATAAAGTTGGAAACTTTACCCATTAAGACCCTTGGTTGATTCAGATATGAAAGTTATATCCCTCATCTAAAAGGATTAAGGACTTAAGAAGGAAGGTTGTTAAACCATAAAGCGTGATGTGCTTCTTGGAGGGTCGAGATGCGCCTCTAGTTTCCTTTCGTGACTATTTTGTCTTCTTTTAGGCATGACGTGTCACATGAAGGTCGCAACATGCTTAGTCGTTGATCGTTGACCTTTTGACCAGTTTGAATTTTGGTCAAACTTTTATAGATTTGAGTATCTGACTAAGGATTGGTCTCGAATTAGTATCATGTGGTTTATGCCAATTGTTTCACCATAAAGGTTGCTATTAAGTTCTGCTACTAGACTCGGGTGTATTTCTCACTATACTATGTAGGACATTAGTTGCCTTGGATTGGTAGGTAGTCTTTGTGACTTATGTATGAAAGACTATAGTTAGACTATAACAGGAAATATTGTAGTTAGACTATAGTAGGGAAAATGTAGTGGTCCTGGTTCTGGTTCAGGCCCAAGCAACCATGGTGGAGCGGGTTTGTGTGATGAATGCATGCGTGATTTGGTTTATTTTGAGGTCTCGAAGGCCTAGTTCGAGGTGGTATCGACATCGGTTGCAAGTCTCAAGGAGGAGATGATCGAGGTCTCAAGGAGGAGATGATCGAGATCATTGATGAGAGGTTTGTATTTGTAGTATGGGTTGGATAGTTGAGGTCCAAGGATGTTAATTGCTACGACATGGTTGTGTATTAGCCTCCCATGTTCAAGGGGGGAGGATCGGATTCTTAACATTTAATGGATGGAGGAGATGGAGGGTGTCTTCCACGCCAATTTTTGTCCCGAGGAGGCAAAGGTTTGGTGCGCTTTGGACTTTTTTTTACCATGCAGTTAAAGGGTTGTTGGGATCTGATTACGTAGTCTGTTAATATGACTGAGATGGAGACCATGTCTTGGGATCAGTTTGTGATCCAATTTTGGGACGAGATGGTGTTTCCAATGGAGTTTGAGATTGTGACTTGAGAGATAAGACAAGAGGTTTGGGGAAGTTGATGTTGTCTCCACTTAATTTTTGGCAACGTGAATTCCATAAGGAGAATATTAGACTGTTAAAACTTGACAAATTCACAAAGATGAAGTTAACTGAAGATAAAGGGAAGGAAACTGCATAAAACGCATAATGTTGAACTGGATCACAGTTTATTATGTTTTTGGTTTGAAGTTTTGATAATTAAGGTGTTGTTTATTTTTTTGGGGCAAAATGTTTACAATCTGCGAACCACATATGTAGACATCAACAGTAGAAGAGGTGGATCAAACGTGTGCAGTCTGAAAAAAGAAAAAGTTTTTTAACATCTGCAAACTACTAAAATAAACTAAAATCTAAATAAACTGATTTTTTAACTTCAAAGTGATTTTTTAATATTTTTATGACTTTGTTATAAATAATTAACAAATCTAGATCAACTTTTATGTATTATTGTATAAACAATGAAAATAAAATGGTACAAATTAATGTATATATTTTATAAAAACAATAATTTTTATCGTAAAGTTATACCTAAACATTGTAATTAGAAATCAAAGAATTTGACATATAAATGGAAGGACATAAACTTCAACTTTTTCAATTATATCGATTAAAAATGTACTATAAATAATTTTCCAAAAATTGACAATATTGTATTAAATAATATTTTATATAATTTGGCACTCAAAATATAAGAATATATTATGATTTTTTTTTTCATATTTATATAAACAATTTCAACGACTATTATTGTAATAAATCTTAATTAATAAATTTGTCAAAATGTTATGTTTGTGTCGTCGAACTTTTTTTTAAAGTATTGTAACTTTTTTTTTCAAATTCTTTATCATTAATAAAGTTGGAATAAATATAAATTTTTAAAAAAACTAAAAAATACATAAAGATATATGTGTTTTTTTTTTTTGCTAGAAGATGTCTGAAGATGCTAGAAGACTTTGTCAGATCCACATACGAGCCAAGAAGAGGCGCGCAAACATTTTTAGGTTTACAGTCTTCAAAAAAAACAAACAGTCTGCAAAGGCTAATGTCTGCGCGGCACAGACAGAAATGACCAAAAAGATCTGTAGACAAAAAACAAACAACATATAAGTCTTAGTTTCCGAAGTAGTATTAGTTACAATGAATGTCAATCTAAAGACTAGTTTATATTTTTAGTAAGTTTGAAATGTTGTTTTGGTTTTGTATTTTAATATGAAGTATTCATGGTTAAAGTAATTATGTTCGTTTATGGTAATGTTGTAGTTTTTAAAGTTAAAAAGTATAATTATGTGAAACTGGTTAAAGTAAAACCAATATGTATTGTGTTTGTTAGAAGATTATGAAGTGGGTTAACTTCATAGTAGAAGCTACATGAGCACAATTCTTAATGACATACCAATTATCATATGAAAATTTTCGAACAAGAACTGGAGGCATTTTTTCATTTTGTTTTGAAAAAAATTAAATGTTCTCTTCAGATTTTAATATGGAACAATACCAAAATTATCACAAAACTGCGGCAACATAAAAAACAGGACAATTACGAACCAAAAGCATAAAAATTTGCCGAACCTAAACGTTTTTCTGTAAGAAGAGTTTTTTCGAAAAAAAAAATTGTATAAAACCAAAAGATTACTGGTAAACAGGACCAAATAGAAAAATATAAAGACCATTTTAGGGAAAAAAAAAAAAAAAAAAAAACAATAATAATAAATTTAGGTTTAATCTGAAAAATAATATATTTGGTCTTTTTTATATAATAAATGAATGATTAAAAAGTGCAAAATGATTCTTATTTTATCCAAAACAAAGAGTAATTTTGATTGTTTCGACAAAATGTCTTTTAATGATATGTTTGTCTATAAATAATATGTATTCTTTATTTTATATTTTATATAATCAATAAAATAAAGTAATTGGTCAAAGAAAATGACAAATTATAAAAGATTTACAAAAATCCAGGACAAGGGATGCTGTAAACTCTGAACTCTAAAGAGTGAAGACATGTCTTCATCTCATCATCCACTCTTGAATAATCAGAATCATAAACAGAGATATACAGAAAAAAATAAAATAAAATAAATCAGAGCTACACCACAACATAAGCAATCAAATTACAAAATTTAAACCAATACACATTATAACGCCTCTATAGAAAAAAAGAATGAACATCTGATTCTAATGAAAACATCTCATCTCATCTGTTTTTTTGTATTCCACGATACTACTAGTAGTACACTATCGATCCCAACATCAAAAAAACCCAGCCACGTATTAAATTTCCAGGCTGGGTTTCTCCAGGATCCACGTCAGCAAAAACCTAGTTTTCTTTTACATGTGTCTTGTCTTGATTCTTGATCTATTTATTTATGATTTATGATTTTATGATTTACGATTATGACAATGAACGTGTCAAAAAATCATTAACAGCAAGACTGGCGTCCCCATGGGACACCGCATCATCTGGCTCTGGCATAAACAAAGAAGCCATGGACGCCTGCAGTAGAAATTATATACACATACTATGTAAAAAAATAATAAAGTAAATGAAGATAAAAGCGTAGTATATTGTATATATAAATATAAATACCTTAGCGTCAATCATCATCTCTCCAGAATTATCCATAGCAAGAGATGCACCATGAGCCTTCAACCATTCTGTACACTCCTCCAATCCATTTTCTTGGAATCCAAGAACCTGAGCCACATAATTCACAGGTAGTGTTGGGCGATATGATCGCGTCATGCATTTCACAGCTGCATACCGCATCTTCTCCACATAAAGATCTGTGCACATGATATTATTATTTATTATTTATATATATTAATTAATAAAAAAAAAAGTAATTGAAAGTAAAGTGAGGGTCTTACCCATAAGACAGGTGTTGAGGTTAGGAGCAATTTTATATAATCTGAAAAACAAGACATAGTTTCCGGATGTCACGGCTGCACGCACTGCAAGAGCATGTTTAACCGCTTCGTCTTTCCTTGCTTCGACTGATAATCTACACTTGAAATTCAGTTTTTTTAATAAAAATCAAAACACAAAACTACGTCGTTTTGAGTTTATTTATATATAATATTTAATAAAATGGACCTAGACATGGCTGACAAGTGATCTCTATTGTTCTTGGAGTGCAAGATAACACAGAGTAAATTGTAGGCAGAAAACTCCATATGGCATCCCTTAATTCCTTCAGCATAAAGAGTCTGCAATTGTGACTGGCACTGGAAAATCAAAATACCTTTTTCATTAATTTAAAATTGGTTTCATTTAAACATAAATAACTTTGTTTTACAGCTAGAGATTAAAGAAAGACAGACCTGATTAATCTCGGACAAGTCTCCGACTTCTATTGCTAATCTTGCATGGGTTTCATACACCTGAAGATTATATACAAGATATAATTAGGAATTATATTTAATTTCTAAACGACCATTCTATCATTTACATTACATAAGTCAAAGTATACGTACCTTGACAGTCAACTCATTGCGTATGCGTTGTACTGTAAGGTCTTGTCGAATAGATTTGAGCTGATCGCATTTATAAAGATAGTTCTTTTGAGACTCTTGAACCATAACCAAAGCCTTTTCCAATACTTCCTCAGGTCTTACCTGAAACAAAAACAAATTAAAACCCTAAAACAAAGTAGCAGAAGAAGATGATGATTTACTTACAGTTGAAGGATCTGGTGCAGAAGTAAGGCGTAAGTAACGTTTTTCAATTTCTTGACAAGTTCCTTTAACAGTTAAAGAGTCCCAATCAATATCTTCAACTGCCCTGCTGGCACCTCCACTGTCATCTGAGGTGTTGGTGTTGCTACTATTTGCCAACATGGACATAGACGCCCTTCTAGTGTACAAGTTTTTGGCTTTATTATTATTGTTGTTATTGTTATATGTTGTTCGATTTCCATGGTTTTTTTCAAAACGTTTTGAACGACTTTCACGTCTCTTTTTTTCTTCTGGTGAGTCCGCAAGTGTAATTGCACTTGCATAATATGCAGTTAGGCCTTGTTCTTTGTCACTATCACTTGATGATGAGTCATTGTTGTTGTTGTTAATAGGTGCGCTTTTACCTTCACCTATATGTTGCCTTTTAGCTGGACGAAAACCTGATTTATTTGTTTCTTTTTGATTTGATAAAAAGAATCTCAGGTTACTAAATTTATTACTCTCCTTATTCTCTGGTTTTCCTGTAGAAAACTGTACAAAACAGACACATGATAAAAAAGAATTACTAATCAACAAACGTACATTGCTACTTTTTGCATTTAACCCTAGAAAGCAACAAACCTGTTTATCTCTTTCAATGCTATGAAAGCCTCCACTGGATTTTACACTCTCGGGGGTAAAAAACGACTGTTTCTCAACTGGTTTCTCATCTGGCAGAGGCTCCCACCTACTTTTTGCACGCCTATTTGGACTTCTTCTGTTCTTCATCAGTGATGGAGGAGTTGATCTATTCAATAAAGTGACAGAAAAAAGGTTTAAAAGATTGATAACAAAAGCAGGAAATGATATAAAGAGAAGAAGCATACTCGTTAGTAATGGTATCAGTGTTGGGAATAGGGAAAAGAGGCTCAGTATCCCAGTCTCGTGTAGAAAGAGTGCCTTCAGTACTTGCTTTGGTGATAATCTGAAATAATCAAAAAATATAAGTGCCATGTGATGTGATTACACAGATAAGAATTTTAGTAAGTTATAAAAGCAAACAAACCTCCTTGAGGACATTTTGGCAAGCTGCCATCTGTCTATCATCCTTGCAACGAGCCAAAGCCCTTTCTACATACCCACGTAGTGACTTGGGAAGCGTGCCAGGCTGTAAAAAAGAAATTTTTCAATGATTAAATAAATGATTAAAAATAAAAAAAAAATAAAAAGTAGATTCTTTAGTCCAAATGAAGTCTCACCTTATCTGCAGAATCTGCAGCAGGAGCATGTGATGATGTGTTGTCATTAGGGTTAGGAAGTGAGACACCGATATAAGCTGGCTTTGAGGCTCCAATTGTGGAATTGTTGTTTTTGGGTAAATTAGAAGAGATTCTAGGGTTTGTTGGAATCTGCACTTTGTTTACCCCAAAGGGTACAGAAGTTTGTGGGGTCATTTGTGGAGGTGGTTGATAGGTTTGAGGCAGATGAGAAGATGTATATTGTTGTACATTTGGTCTTTGAGGGGGGGCTTCTAAAGGCTTCTGAAAGCCTGATTGCATTGGGGTAACATGGTAATTTTGGTAACCTTGACTCCCTTGTTTCCAGTAACTTTCATGGACATTGTTAATTGCTGCACTAGGCTGAGAACAAAATCATAAAAGACTTAAGTATGGATGCAAGAACGTGTAAGTATGTAGGAATACAGGGCTTCTTGTATGCATATAAGTAGATGTATTGTTTGTATGCATGTAATGTAAGCATGTCTTTAAGTATTCAAGATAGTTCTTGGATGTTTAATTTTTTTTTTTCACTAGAAATAGAACAGAATAAAAAAAAAACAGGAACGTACCTTTATATGAGATGAAATATATAATAACAAATTAACTCTTTACATATTGATGATGCTGTAATAATATAGACAAGATTCGTTTTTATAAAAGTAAATTAACTCTTACATATTGATGATGCTGTAATAACATGGTAAGAAGCATATTTCTGATTTCTGACCCATAAAAAACAACAACATGGTTTCTGTAACCATTTATTTATGCACAAATAAGGAAGTTACATTTTAGTATTTATAAGGAAAAAGGAATATCACCAATTTAGTTCTACATTCATTTTGGAAGCCACAGAGAAACATTGTATATGTAACTTCTTAGGTTACATATACTCTTATTAAGTCTTAAACACAAAACTTGCTCATTCTAAGAATAAGAAAAGAAATAAATGTACAATTAGAACTTCAAAAGGTACATAAACCCTCGCATATAACATAGCAGCTAGGATTGACACATAGTGTTATGTCTAGATGTTATACTATGTTTAAATGCAACACAGGTTTTTTTTTTTCTTTTTTTTAGTAAAAGTAGCTTGGAAAGACCAAATCAACAGCATAAACATCCATCAGACACCAACAACAACAACATCAACAATTCCCAAGTCCCATAACAAATGGTGTTAGGAGAATGTAACTATGTAAGAGGAAATATGCAAACAAATGGGTATAAATATGCATATACAAGCAATAAAGCAAAAAGTAATACGTATATACAGGCAATAGAGTACAGAAGAAAGTAACAAGCAGCACACAAGCAATAGAGCAGAAAGTAGGGAGCAGATATAAAGAAGGAATAAATATAAAGATAAAGACTACACTTAGAAGCTCACACAGAAATAAAAGGAAAGTGAAACCTATGCAACTCCACTACCCTAATTTTAAACCTCCACTCCCTCCTATCTACAGTCTTCTAAAGAACCAACTTCTTTGGTTATTCATTGGCAATAAGTCTCCTACAATCTACTATGCAAAATTATATCATCGGTTATTCAATGGCAATAAGTTTAAGCATGCAGTATTACTGGATCCAGTTAAGAACATACACAAGAGGCATGACAATGGTATTAAATTATATGGGAAAAGCAATCCCCAAACCTGCACTGAGGGTAACTCAGATAAGCCAGATTCTGGCTTCCAAGATGATGGAACTGGAGCAGTAGATGCCACTTGTTGGTTGTTTGGAGCAGAATAAGCATTGGCAACAACAGGAACAGGAACAGGAACAGGAAGAGGAGACACCAGATTGGGTGCAGTTGTAGAAGATACATTTTCAGTCCCAGGAGCACATGTGACTTCAGTTTGGCTATAATAATCTGTCCATTGTTTACTATAATCTTGTTGATATTGTACAGATGCCACAGGAGTATTATTTTGAGCAGTATAAGCAACATTAGAATCTGTAGTGTAGTTTGGATATTGATGAGCATAACTTGGATAGCTTCCTTGATTCCATGAATTCGTCTGAGTATTGTAATTTGCAGTTGGGTAACCACCAGATGTCTGATAATCACCAGGATTGTAATAAGTTGTTGAATAACTTGCAGGCCCAGGATAGGACCCTGTATTCTGAAATGAGGAAATAGGCTGATGAGGAGCACCTGTACTTTGATAGGCTCCTGCTGGCTGAACATACGTTTGACTAGACTGATTTGGCTGCTGCTGAGTGTATGATTGATTTGGCTGCTGCTGCTGATGATGATGAGGAGGAGGAGGATATGATTGATTTGGCTGCTGTTGAGGGTATGATTGATTTGGCTGCTGTTGAGGGTATGATTGATTTGGCTGCTGCTGTTGATAGCTACTACTACTATAGTAACCTGCATATCCTGTGTTTCCATATCCATATGGATCATTGTTTGGGTATGTAGCAGTTGCAGTTGGAGTTGGAGTTGCATAGTTGGCATACTCTAGATTAGCTGCTGCACCAGAACTTGAAACAGTACCAGCAGATGCCACACTCAATCCATCTTGAAGGTTTCTTGATTGAGGTTCTGAACGTTGATCATGGCTGAAGTTGGCACTGGGATAAGTTTTGTTCCCTGTGGAATCGCTAACAGCTCCATACATGGTCCAGGATGCAGATTCAGGAGCGGAAGATGAGGCATAATATGATTGTGCTTGTCCATGGCTTGAATCGACAGCGTGATGCTTAAAAAATCAAAAGAATCAAAAATGGTTTTAGTTGAAATGGACCATTATTGAAAATCAATGAATGACTAGCAAAAGAATTTGAATATCATCCATAGGCATCGATTGGAGTTATATAAACATGCTAAAGTGTTGTTTCTGCAGGAGTCTTAATGCCTACCTCGAGTGAATTCGGGTCCAGGGTGGTTATGGTGTCCGTAACTCCTTGATTCATCATAGCATCAAAAGCATCCTCCTGCTAAAAGAAAAAAAAGAAAAAAACAAATATTAGCTTAAAGCCTTAAACCTGGACTTTTCATGAATCTACAAACGAACCTAAGAGATACACTTATAATCAACAATAACCAATAAAAGCAAAAACCCTAACTAATTCACTGGAAACAACAAATCAACCTTACGAATATCTAGAGTCAATCGCGAGCTTGTAATGCAAAACACCTTGTTGCCGACGTCTGTGTTGATTCGAGTAGATGATTATAAACAAAAACAAGAAATTTACAACGGGTATTATAAAGATTTATATGTTCGTAGAGATTTAAGAATTAAGGAAAGATCGGAGAGAGCGATAAAGGGGGATTAGTGAGGAGATTCAACCGGGCGTCTACGTTGGGTCCAATTTGGGGTTCCCGAATGCTGTGTGGAAGTGGGTTAAATTCGGAGGTTTGGTTGCAACGAGTAATTTCTGTTTTCAATTATTCTAGGGATACTTATTTAGGCAAGGAGGTTAAGTAGTTGTTCCGATTTATACAAAAACATTGCTTTCTAATAAGATCTGTTATAATATTTTAAATATGGACAAATTATATTATATAACTACTTAATATGAAAAACGCTAAATGTTTCTTGTTATGTTTGGAAAAAGAGAATGATTTTTAAGCGAACATTTTTCTAAGATTATAGAAAGAAAACATTTGAAGAATTGAAAATAACTTTATCAAGAAGAAGACCAGTCAATTGGTCGATGTCGGTGGTGAGATTGAAGCTTCCATATACTCAAAGAGCGTTGTCTCCACCTTGGCCCGGAGTGAAGGATGGGTTTTGGTCAAATGGTGAAGCCTTCCAAAGGAGTGTAGTGTCAGACTTCGACCTAGAGCAAATTATGAGTTTTGGTATCAGCGAAGGTTGGAGATATCAAGATGAAGCAAAAGGGTCAAGCTTTTCGGTTGAAGCGAAGTTTGAAGTCAAGGAAAAAAGCAAATTCTCGATCAAATGTTCTGAAGTGCAATCTTTCCTTCAGTGTTCTTAGAAGCTTAGGTTCTTAAGTAGCAGTGAATCAGTGTCTAGTCTCAACATTACAGAATAAACTTCCTATTATGCTAGCCTAGCATATGGTCATTGGTCTAACCCATAATACTTACGTCAACGAAACTATAAATATATCTCACTTATTGTAACCCTAATAAGCGTGTGTATGTGTTGAAACTGATAGTGAAGTTGATACATAAATCTTGTATATCATTGATAATCAATAAAAATGGATTTCTCTAGTTTTTTTTTTTTTTTTTTTTTTTTTTTTTTTTTTTTTAGGACATAGACTGACTACTATATTCAAGTGAGCTAAGTTAAAATTTATCATCTCTATTGTTATGATTAATTTTGTTGATTTGTTCTTAATACCTAATAGTCGGTATCAAAGTTATGGTTGAAGATGGAAAGATGGGAAGATCAAGATCAATAAATTTAAGTTAATTAAGAAGTTGTCTAACATGTACAAAAAAAAAAAAAAAAAAAAAAAAAAAAAAAAAACCTCAACAACTAACAAGGGTTCTTGATTAGATAGTTGTTTATGAAGAAAGGTGGTTCAATGATGGATCATGTGAACCAATTTAACTCAATAATATCACAAAATTGATATTTGTTGATATTAGATTCGAATACGAAGTCGATACGTTGTTGTTATTATCTTCGCTCCCTAAGAGTTGGTCTGGAAATGTTATAATAGTTAGTAGTTCACACAGAACCATAGAAATCTCATTTGAAGGCATTCATGACTTAATCCTCGGTCAAGATGTCTGAAAAAAGAAGAATAATGGAGTGCTACAACAACACATTAAGTATCGAAGACATGTGAAGAAAGTCTAATAGAAGGTATCGTGGTAGAGGAAGGTCAAAGTTAAGGAGGAGAGGGCAGTCCAAGAGCAAGAAGGATATTACCTATTGGGATTGCAACAAAAAAAGGAAAGAAACGATTACTTCAGAATTCAGTTCTCAAAACCTTTGTCGAGAAGACGAGGAAGAAAATGCATATGGTTGAAGATTTTGATTATGTTCTTATTTGTTATGTATAGAGTCTGAATGAATCATAGATCATGGATTCGTGTGCCCCGTTCCATGCAAGTCATTGTAGAGAAATAACGCATAATTTTAAACATCACAGCAACGAAGTGAGGCTTAGGAGACAACAAGACCTTAAATATCACCAGAGTTGGAAATGTCATCATCGACATAACTTTGGGTGCAAAGTGAACTTTTAAGAATGTTAAGTACATTTCAGATATGAAGAGGATAATGATATACACCATGTTGATTTTGGCAATCACCAGTAGAAAGTAACGAAAGGGAACCTCATAGTTGCTTGAGTTCAAAAGCAAAGAACATTATGTATGGTTGAATCTTCGACAAATAGAGTGAACTCAGCAATTGAAGATACATGGACTTCCACTCAGTGGCACCGAATGATCGATCACATGAGAGAGAAGGGAATGAAGATGTTGGATTCAAAAAGCATAATACTAGAGTTGAGAAGTGTAACCGTTGATTTTTTTAGCCATGTGGACTTGAAAAAAAAGAACAAGGTTACCCCCACCAAGATGAGGTCGGCGACATCAACGGTTCTCAGGGTTGAGAAGCTATAACTTTTTCATTCATAAGTCTATTGAGCAACTTTGGTCTCTTCAACAGGAAGGTCTCGATATTACGTTACTTTCCTAGATGACTCAACGAGAATAAACATAGTTCTAAATGAAAGGGAGAAGAGCATGAGACCACATACTGGATTGTCAATGATGTTTTGAGCAAATACAAGCAACATCACATCATATTTAATAACAAAGGACCCTCAGTCCGAAAAAGTTTCAAGATTTCAAAATAGGAATAGCAAAGTTGAGATATATCTGCTCATCTAAAAGTATTTAGGTGTCTTGTACATCATAATAAAGATGCCAAAAAAAAAAAGATAATGTATGCTTTAAAATGTTATATTGTACAACTCTATAATACATTAATTATTGTGCATGGAGAAATATTATTGTGTTTGAATCACTTCTAAATTCTCAAACACAATCGATTAAATCAAATATGATAACACTGAATGAAACCGAAAGGATATATTTTCCCACGAACTGTACATTTTTGGACATCAAAATAAACGTTTTCCAACAAGACATGTTTTTGGTTTTAGGTACAAACAACAATTATGACAGACAATCAAACAAACAAAGAAACAAACACATGATTAGCATATTATATATTTATACGAGTAAGTATGTAGTAGTGGCTACATTGGTATCATGAAATAAATGCTTTTGTCACTTGACTGTAGCTGAAAACTTCTCTTGTTCTTGGACAAGTAATTGTTCCATTATTATTACGTGCCATTTCTTCAAGAGCCTTCAAAACAAAACAAAGATTATGTTCCCAATAAAAGTTTTATACAATCTTTTAACATTCCAAAATCGAGTTGATGGAGACATGATTGAATATGATTTAGCTAACTAACCTTAGTGCTGTAAACATATCCATTGGGTAAAACAAGTGGTGGGTTCTCTGTATCCATGAGCTCTTTTGTTATGTAGCAGACAAGTTTTGAATGATGCTGCTTTGAGTAAGGCAATGGCATCGCAAGCTTCCGGAAGCTTTCTTGAGACAGAGGATCCTCTTTTGGACAATCATCCTCATAACAGAATCTAAATCCCAATAGTCAAGCCAAAACTACACAAGTTTTTTTAAAAGTAAAATGATAATAATAAATGTAGGATACGGAGTTTTGAGAGCTGATAAGCCTGCTTGGAGATAGATATTCAACAAAGGCTCAAGGGTCATCCCATATAACCTACAAAACTCCTGTTTGAATTGTTCCATTAAGAAATCCCATTGCTTTGCATCAAATAAAACCTGCCAAAACACAAAAACAAGTTAGTTGATCAACAAAATGAAAGGAATGGTTGATTCCATTCCATTCTTTCATTCTTTCCCAGATTCCATTCCATCAAACCTGATCATGGAATGTTTATACTTTATACTCATTAGATATTGAAAAGAACATTAACCTTGTATGTCTCACATCCAGTATTACAAGTAAAAGCCAATGTGGCAAAAACTTTCTGAAACTCTTTCATATAAGAAGCTGCCCATGGTGAAAGGTGCTTTCGGGAATATGTAACTGCCTGGAGATTCTTTTCATTGCGTACTAATTCAATAAACTCCTGAAGCCTCAATTGAAACTCGAATTTGCTCTGTTATCAAGAAAAAGAACACTCAATATCAGCCATGTTTATGTATCTTTTCTTATATCAGTAGCAATTACAAGATTGAAGAAATAAGTATAGTATACCTTAGATTTTTTTAACCTAGACTTGTTATCAGCACACCAGGCTAGAGCAGGAGCTACCTCCTTGTTTCTTAGAGCATCCATCACTCTTTTGGCTTCATAAAAGATTTCAATATCAACAAGATCCTGTAAGATGAAGAAAGAACGTGATAATTGTAGAAGAATCAAGAATCAAGGAATACTTTCACAAGATAATTGTAAAGGAACCTTGACTGAAGAGAAACAGAAGATTATTGCGAAATACCTGTATGTGACTGCTTTCAGCAAGCTGTGTGGCAGTGGTATAGTATGACATTCGCAACATGTAGTCTACCAGTATTCGCTTCAACCGCGTGTTGTTCCACTCTGATATATTATCGGCTCCGGCGGATTCCAGATGATCAAGTCGGGCCTTACACCGTTGCGCTTGGAGATGCTCAGCCCTACTCCCATCTTCCAACTGTTTAGTTACAGATTATCAGGCATTGATGGGAATGGGATAAATATTTTCCTATCAAGATTCTTAATCATCCAATAAACCAATAGAAAACAGAAATTGATCGATGCAATACAATTAAGTACGGCATTTAGATAATCGGAACCCTAGAAAAATAATTGAATTAGTCGATTCGGTTTACGAGTATGAAGATTAATTACCTTCCGCTTGAGACCTTGTAATCTAGAAACGAGCGAATTGAGATGCTTAACGGCATCGTCTTGGGAGAGATCACCGGAATCTGAGAGAGTGGACATGACGGCAGATACCTCTTTCTCGACAGCCCTGTGGTTGGCGCGGATCGTCTTCTTGTAGTGTTCGAATGGGACTCTCAAGAACTGATGTTCTAGTTTTAAGGACTCCGTCAGTTGGGTGAGTTTCGAAGAGGGAACTGCACCGTGAACTGATGGGAGGGATGCGGCGGTGGCTGAGGAGATGGTGGCGTTGGAGACGGCGGAGTTGCCGTTCGTATTAGATTCCATTTTTGTTGGGAGGAGGAGGACGGAGGTGAAATCAAATCAGGGAGAAGATGGTTTGTGTGTTGGATTGGGAAAAATGGTTTGGGGGTTGCCGGTGCCCATACTAGAAGAAGAATATATACGACGTCGTTTGCAGGTGGCTTCATTCGAGTCCCTTTTAAAATGGAAAAATAAAATTTGTATTTATGTAGAATTATTTAATAACTTAGAACTAAAACTTGAGACAAATGACTATGAGAATTTCTCTAATCAGTTACATGGTTCATTTCATTGCAACGAAAAGAAGATATTTGTTTGGTCTAGTGGAACAGAATGATCACTTTGTAAGTAAACGGATTTATTTATATCGTTAGATCATGGAGTAGAGAATACTTTAGGATGCGTAAAGGGTGACGTGGAGGGTATTTATGCGTGAACCCCCCCCCCCCCCCCCCCCACCTCAATGGTGAATGTGATGCGGATTGACTGGCTTCACGGGTGGTTACGAGCATTTTTATTGGTCAATAACTTTTGACCATTCTTTTTAACCGTTTGGATTAATTAAAAAAAACCTTTTCAGTTCAATACTTCGGCTATATATACACAAACACAAAAACACATATCTCTCTACTTTACAAATCTCTCTACTTTCTCTTTTCCTCTCAAAAATATGGAGCAACATCAAAATACATCTACCACTCTAAACACCCCAACAACACCAAACATTCCAAATGATCAATATCAATGTTACATTCAAATCCTAACATCTCCACTCCAACATCAACCTCTATTTACCAACATTTCATTTCAACCAAACTAGTTCCAACAACAAATACCACAATCCCAATTTTAAAGTTTTCAACAATTTCAACCCCAATAATTCCAAACACAACCATCTCAACAATTTCAAATACAATCATCTCAAGTCCCTTTTTCTCAATCCCCACCTATAAACCTGGACAACGACGACGGCAACCAAGTCGAAGAAACACAACCATCTAGGCGAAGGAAATCAAAAGGAAAGGCTACAAATAAAAGAGGAACAACTTGGATCGAAGAGGAGGAGGAAGTTTTAATTAAAACTTGGATTTCTATATTGGGCGACTCGAGGGACGGGCAACGCGCAAATGAGAAATAGATTTTGACATCGTGTTTTAGATCACTTTCACTTGCTCTTGGGAAGGCAAAGGGGTCGAATGTACGACATATTTGAAAAAATGAAAAAATATGCATAAAAGTGATAGCAACGATTTCAATATTTTATCAACAGCTTACCAACAATTCAAAGTTACCAATGGCGGTAAAGCGTTCTGCCACCAAAAAGCATGAGAAATTTGTCGTAACGGTCCAAAATGGGTCCTTCACCCGGAGACTTCGCATCCGGAATTGACCATCGGCTCCAACAAAAGGCCAAGAACTTCCGAGTCGGATGTGGGTTTTGGTGTCGACCTCAATGACGACTTCGATGGGACCGAAGGGAAGGGTCCACCGGAAGTCCAACTTCGTCGACCACCAGAAAAAAATAAAGGGAAAAAAGCGGCATCTTCAAGCGGAAAAGTGATTAACGAAGACGTACTTGCGGACAGAATTGACAAAACTCTAAGTTTTTTACAAATATATATATATATATATATATATATATATATATATATATATATATATATATATATATATATATATATATATATATATATATATATATATATATGAGTCAACGGAGGAAGCTCGATGTCGGAAACCAGCATTCACCGAACTTCAAATTTTAAACACGAAGCTGCAACCGGATATCGACCCATAAAATTTAGCTGCGTTTTTGAAAATCCAACAAATTCGGAAAAAATATGGAACTTAGGTTTTAACGTTTTTTATATTTTTGTTTAATTTCTATGACTTTTAGTTATGGTTTTTAGTAATTTGGATTTGAAATTTTATGTGTAATGTTTTTTTATGTAATGTGAAATATCTAATTATGTTATTAATTTAGTTTTTTTTTTTTTTTTTTTTTTTTTTTTTTTTTTTTTTAATCTAAATATATTAAAAAAAACATTGTAGAGTGATAACCATTTCCAAGGCTAGTGAACATATAGTGGTGCATATGTGACATCACTTTTCTAGTGAATACATTGTGACAATACCCCATGGCTTTGGTATTTTTGGAAATGGAACTTCTCTAACAAGGGTTTTAGGTCAGTTTTCATGGACAGTTAATCTATGTTGCAAACATGAGACTATGTTTCATTTTCCGGAGTCACTGCAGATGAACATTTATAGTCACAGGGGCTGGATTGTATCAATATTTGAGCATGAGTCAATATAGTATTCATCATATCTTTCGTATGATTTATCAGGTCGCCACAACCCAAAAGATTTTATTTTATCAATTTTAATATCTTAAAATTGGCTGTTATTTTAAGTAAACAAATTTATTTTATTTTTTTAATTTTAATCTCTTAAGAATGGTTGTTTTTTCTACTCCAGGATGCAAAATTGTAGAAAAAACATCTTGTTTATATAATTTGTAATGACACAAATCCGTTCTCCATAGTCCTTTTCCTTCTCTCTTAAAGTGTTAAAACAAATATAAAGAAGTTTGATACTTGTATACCATCCTTTTAGACAAAATTGACTTTTGTTCTTAAAGGCTTAAAAACTTCTTGTTGTAAGAAGATACTAACATAAATGTAAAGAAGTTTTGATACTTGTATAGTATCCTTGTTATTTATGGCCGTGTTTTAGTCTTTCTTGTTCATATTAAAATGATATAAAATAATTTTATGTTATTGAAGTTTAAAATGTTTCTTTTATTATATTTATCATTTTTAAAACTAAAATTTTGAATAAATCCCAAAAATCATTTTAATGTTTTGAGATGAAATATTGAATTTTGCGAATCGAATGCTTAATTAGCTTGAGTTGTTTTGGAAACCATGAGAAATATACATTGTTTTATTAATGATGTTTTACAAATGTTTTTGGAAGGTTTGCCTTAGGTACGCTGATTGACATCTTACTCTATTAAGTCAAACTCATTTTGATGTGTGTTTAGATCGAGGGATACAAGGTTATGGTTAAGTGGATATGTTTAGAAGGCCTTGACTTGTCTATGAAACTTTGAACTTAAGGTTTTAAAACTTAAAACTTTTGTTTTTAAATGTTACTTTCAAACTACCTGGTCAACAGATGTTATCCTTATGACAATGATTAATAAATCTATCTAAAATTTGCTCATAAATAAATGCAAATGAACCTGATGCAACATCTTGCTTATATTCGAAATATCGATCATGTGTTTATTATTGTATTAGTTTATTGCGATTCTCCCAACAATGATCGACTAAGGATGATTTAGAATTAAGAGAAGCCATTCAAAAATCGATCATTTATTTAATGATATATGTCATCGAAAGGAAAAAAAAAAACATCCATTCACTTAAACATGTGAAAACAAACATGAACTAAATAAATATGTAAATATAACTATCTAATAAATAAATAAAAATGTTACAAAACTTTAACATTACAATTAATCAATTAATCACGAGTACTAATTCCATTTGTTTAAGAACCTGATTCCATAGCTTTCCATTTATTATATGTTTATGATTTTAAAAGTTATATAACAAATAATTTAAAACAACAATATTAATTTTAATAACCATAACACTTAGTAAAAAAACTATCAACGGAAAAGTCATAATATAAAATATAAGTAAAATTAAAATAACATTAATTTAAAAATTAACTAACTTCATAAAGATTTTTACCACAAAAAGTTAGTTTTTTTAGAAAAAAACTCAGCTTTGAGAAATTAAAAATTCCACAGATATGTGAAATTCTTTGATGTTTTATTTTTAGTTTTGTATGTAAAAACTACAATATATATATATATATATATATATATATATATATATATATATATATATATATATATATTAAAATGACATTTGAAGATTTTACCACAAAAAGTTAAAAAAAAAAAAATTGGTTTGTTTTGTTGTGTTTTGTTCAGGTAAAGATATATTTACACATGTCACGAAAGGAATTGAATTTCCAATATGTTATTCGGCATGATCGTTACTAACTTCTGTCAATTTTGGACTATAGCCCATCAACCGAATCGACCCTGAACACTGAACAGAGCCCACAGAAATTTAGACTCGTGTGAGGCGTGTGCTATTTATAGGCATACGCACAACCCCTCTTTCTTTGCATCCAAGAATCCTCCGAAATTACTCCAAACCGAAGACCAATTCTCCCCCATTCAACCAAACCGAGAGCTGCTAATGCTATGATTACAATTCGGTTTGTAAGCATCCGCCATATATGAAAAGCTTTTGATTGGAGGTCAGTTTTAATCATGTAATGTTATAAATTCTGCTTAATGTGTTTGATTTTTGGCACAGAGAAACAGTTTACATGCTGGTTTGCGTCGAATTTTTATAAAGTTGGTCTTTTTCTTTACAACCACCATAAATTGTTTCTTGATGTTTGGTTGTGCTTTTGCAGATTTACGATATCCGATATCCGCATGCAATTTTGTGGTAAATTCTGGAGACGGTGACGTGGGTTTTGAGATTGAGCGTAGATTTAGGTTGAAAATCTAGGGTTTTAATTATCTCATTGTCAAAAAGTTTCGTTTTTGGGTTATATTAATATGCGAAAGAAGGAGAATGGTTAGAATTACATTGAAGAAAATCGTGTATCCGTGTTGGAAGCCATTTATGGAAGGAGATAGTCAAAATAGCGGTAGAAAGGGAGATTTCGGTGGGATTGTGGATGGATTATGGTGGTATGAGGACTCTGGAAAACATGTTAATGGTGATTTTTCAATGGCGATGATCCAAGCCAATAGCGTGTTGGAGGATCAATGTCAACTTGAATCCGGATCATTAAGCTCAATCGAACATGGACCTCAAGGAACCTTCGTCGGAGTCTATGATGGCCATGCTGGCCCTGAAGCTTCAAGGTTTATCAATAACCACCTATTCAACAATATCAAAAGTACTTTCTTCAATCCCTCATATCTTTTCCATTCATATCGTGGGTTTTCTGTTTTCATTTTATAAACTCTAATTCGTTTTCCATATTCACGACTCCAGAATTCACATCAGAGAATGAAGGAATGTCAGATGATGTTATACGCAAAGCATTTTTAACAACTGAAGAGGAGTTTATCTCTGTAGTTGAAAGCGAATGGCTAAGCAATCCAAAAATGGCTTCTGTGGGGTCGTGTTGTCTGGTTGGCGTAATATGCAATGGAGTGTTGTACGTTGCAAATGCAGGTGATTCTCGTGCAGTTTTAGCAAGAGAAGAGAAAGGCATCAATGGATTCAAAGGTGTTAGGGTTTCAGAAGAACACAATGCCAGTTATGAATCTGTTAGAGAAGAACTACGCTCATTGCATCCAAATGATCCAAATATTGTCGCATTAAAGCACAATGTCTGGCGTGTGAGAGGTCTTATCCAGGTAATTTCTCTTATACAGCTTATTTGTATTCTCTCTCTATCTCTTTTCTTTTTACTTAATGAGCTTAATGCTTTTAAACACTTAATCTCTAGTGTAATCTATATTTGGGTGTTTAAGGTTTTGTTTCTTTTTTTGCTCATTATGTCAATAATCCAAGTGGTTAGAAACTTAGAATGTACTTTTTGTGGTTTTTAGCTTTTAAAAGACCTTCATACCCCCCTCTCATGTTTTCTTATCGGTTTATTTTCAGCCTAAATCAACCACTAATCGCGATAAAGGTTTGTTCAAGTTGCATAGTTTTCACATTCAAGATACACGGTGACTGTACTACCCTTGTACATGTGTACACATTAGTCATTTACCTATTTACCTAAACTACCCTTGTAGATTAAAATCCATCTTTAATAACATTACAATGACACCCATGTCCAATTATGCAATAACTTTCCCAAATGAAACATACATTAATTATATTCTAACTAAAATTTCACAATCTTGCAGATTTCTAGGTCTATTGGTGATGTCTATTTGAAGAAACCAGACTTCAATAGAGAACCTTTATTGCCAAAATTTATACTTCCAGAACCCTTCAATCAGCCTATTCTAAAATCTGAACCTTCTGTATTGGTTCAGAAGCTCACTCCAGAAGATCAGTTTCTTATTTTTGCATCTGATGGCCTTTGGGAACATCTTTCTGATCAAGAGGCTGTTGATATAGTCAAATCTTCTCCACAAAATGTAAGTTTTTTAACATGTAATGTATATTTAGATCTTTTATGCAAAATGGTTATGAACTTATGATAATAAATATAATATATATGCAGGGAATTGGGAGGAAGCTTGTGAAAGCTGCACTTCAAAAAGCAGCAAAGAAGAGAGAAATGAGATACTCAGATTTAAAGAAAGTAGGGGTAGAGGGAGGTGTAAGAAGACACTTTCATGATGATATTACAGTTATAGTCTTGTTTCTCAACCATAATTTGTCATCCTCTGCAACTCCAGTATCGTTTAAATGTTCTTCATAAAGTCCTGAAAAACTGAATTCAGGGATATTTTTTTAAAATTTCTATTGAGAAAGGTTTTTGATGTTTAGAATTGGAGTAATAAAACATGGTTGATGATTATGCCAAGAAGAAGAAGCTCTGGTGATTGGCATATGAAGCTGATTTGGAGTTGGGTTTTCTTTGTTGTTCAAACACAAACACTAGTTTCATGTTTCTATTGGAATTAATCTTCATTGTTTTGTTGTTATTAATGGCGTTTTTACAAGATTTGAACTTGGTTTGATTTTAGTGTTATGTTATGTAGGAATGCAAGGTCAACCCATATGAAGAAATAGTAATTTTTGTTCAAATAAATGAAACAAATAAGGTTTAATAACTTCTAAATGTCGAATCTTTTATAGTCAAGTTTATTTTATTTCAAGTTTTTTCGTTCATAAAAAAGATGATCCATGAAGTAAATGACTTCATTTAGACATCACATACACTAAATCACTTGTCCGTTTCTATTTTTATATAATAAATTCATTGACTTGAAACCGATGATGAACAAGTCATGAAAAAAAAAAGATGATATCTACTAATATCGACATTAAAGAGACAATGACACGTAATCATGCCATCATGTATTATTCAATTATCGGTTAACATGAGGTAACAAGAATACAAGATACTTAGTTTAAAATCCAAAAGCACGTGAATTAAAAAGAATTCAAATTTTATAAGAAAAAATTAGGACAAATGATATAAAACTTATAGATTTTCTCATTTTTAACCACGTGTCAATATATATTTTGATTAAAACAAACCGGAATAGAGCTCGAGTTCAACCGATTTCATTTTCTGTCCCCCACCACCACCACCAGCGCGCCACCGTCCGTGCCATCTCTACTGACTACTCAAAGATGGCGGCGGTCAACTCCGTCCGTATCGCCGCTGCTCAGATGACATCCATTAACGATCTTGCCGCCAATTACGCCACATGCTCTCGCCTTGTCAAGGTTTCCCTTTTCTCTCATATCCTCTGGATGAATCAAAGTCAAGCCTGTGTTTTTGTTTCGAAACTTATCAATTTTTTTCATGGTTACATGATCAATTAAATTATACAGCTCTTGCAACTTCAAAAACACTTCAATTGAACGTGATAGTGATGTTATTTGAGTAGCTAAAGGTTTTTATTCATTAGGGTTTTGTTTATCTAAAACCCACCCCATTATCGTTTACGACCGATGATCAATTCCAGATCAAAAGCTCTCAATTTCTACTCGTTTTTTATTATAAGTTATGATTCACAGGAAGCAGCCTCAGCTGGAGCAAAACTTCTTTGCTTCCCTGAAAATTTCTCGTTTGTGGGTGCTAAAGACGGGGAAAGCCTTAAAATTGCCGAACCTTTAGATGGCCCTGTTATGAAAGGTTATTGTGCTCTTGCAAAGTAAGTAACCAATTTGAATTTATCATTCAAAAGCTATCCATTTTTAGAAATTAGGGTTTTATTGCGATGAATTGAATTTACAGGGAGTCAAGCATGTGGTTGTCTCTTGGAGGGTTTCAAGAAAGAGGGTCAGACGATGCACACTTATGTAATACTCATGTTTTGATTGATGATGCTGGAAATATCAGAAGCACTTACAAGAAGATGCACCTGTATGTGAGAATTTAGATGTTTGACATTTTCAATTCCAATTAAATATTATCAGAAGCTCAATCTTTTCCTTTTTTTTTTTATATATATTTGAAGGTTTGATGTGGATGTTCCTGGAGGTGCAGTCTATAAAGAGAGCAGCTTTACAGAAGCAGGTATGTGAATGTGAGTCATTTGCAATCTTTGATTTGAAAATTGAAATTGAAATTGAAATTCAAAAGTTTTGTAGGGAAGGAGATAATTGCCATTGATAGTCCCTTTGGGATTTTGGGTCTTACTGTATGCTATGATTTGAGGTTCCCTGAAGTTTATCAACAGCTGCGCTTCCACCATGGAGCTCAGGTTCTTGAAAATTTCTCAATCTTTATTATTTATATTTGGATCAGTAATTGTTTATATAATTAGTTTGTAATCTGATTTTGCAGGTTTTGTTAGTTCCTGCAGCATTTACAAAAGTTACAGGTGAGGCACATTGGGAGGTTCTTCTTCGTGCACGTGCCATAGAGACTCAATGTTATGTATGAATCGTTGAATTGCATATTTTATCTTTTTCTTTTGGAAAAAAAATGAAAGAAAATCTTTTTTTTTTTTTTTTTATTTTTTATTATGGTTTTTTAATGTTGAATTAGGTTATAGCTGCTGCACAAGGTGGGCAACATAGTGAGAAAAGAGAGAGTTTTGGTGATACGTTGATAATCGACCCTTGGGGCACTGTAATTGGTCGTTTACCCGGTAAGAATTTGGTATTTTTTTGAAATTTTTTAAAATTATTTTTGTTGGTTTATAGAGTTTTAAATATTTAAAGCATTCTTTCAGATAAAGCGTCAACGGGAATCACGGTTGCAGATATAGATTTCTCATTGATCGAATCCGTGAGAAGGAAGATGCCAATTTCCCAGGTAAAATCCAGACAAGACAAAACATGTTGTACTGTGTTTGTGTTTGTGTTTGATGTGACTAAGACTGATGTCAATGAGATAAAAAATTCAATTTTTGGTCCTACAAAAGGGATTTCCAAAGGATTTCTCATTGGTGCAAAAGACGTGAATGCCCTTATCATACTGACTGTGTTTTATTGGTTTTATTTATTTTCAGCATCGGAAGCCGATTGAGTTCTGGAAACAAGTCTCTAAATAACGGTACTATTCGTGATCATGATTCATAAAATGAATAGTTTGTTAATCATGAATATTATGAATTTTATCTTGATTTAGTTGAAGGGTGAAACCATTTAGAAAAACGTTTTATATTTGATTAAGATGCTTCTGAAATCTAGCATTCATAATGACAAGTTTTCATCTCAAATTCTCAAATGTTAATAATTGTCATCATTGCACATTAAACATTTATGACTTGTAAATGTAACACTCGATCCTTAATCACATAATTGACCAATATTATCTATATCTATAACTCTTATAAATGAGATCATCAAAATCAATGTGGTTTAAGATAAATTATATATCTTGAACCATATTCATTTGAAACTTCCCAACCTTTTGTGCTATTTAATGATTTGTTAATTGATCTTTTTTTTTATCTATATAAGAACTTATTCAAAGTGAATGAAAATGAAAAAAAAAGTGCTAATACATAAAGTTTTTTTTTTTTTTTTTTTTTTTTTTTTTTTTTTAGACAAAATTGCAAAAATGGTCTTTGCGGTATGCATTTTTCTAAGGTTTAGTCCAAACCTCGTTTTTTTGGCTTCGTCGTTTTTTTAAGCTAGTTTTGTTGCGGATTTGGTCCTTCGGTAAACTCAAATAATTATAATACCATTGGAGTATTTATTTTCCAATTTTCTTTCATTTTTCTTAAATTTAACAATTATTTATTTATTTTAATAATTAAAAAAAGAAGGGCCTCTCTCTCTCTCTCTCTCTCTCTCTCTCTCTCTCTATATATATATATATATATATATATATATATATATATATATATATATATATATATATATATATGGAACACAACCCACAACCTCCTACCACCATCATCTTCGTCCCCCATATCGAAACTCTAAACAAGAATTCTGATTTTGTTACCTAGAAAGTTTAGGCTTTCAATTTGCAACAAAAAAGGTATAATCGGACCAGTAGGATCTTTTTAAACCCCCTATCTTCTTACAGATTAAATGAAGTGATTTCTCGAGTTGGTTGATGTTTAAGCATTTCTATCCAGATCGTTAATAATCTTCAACGATAATTCTCGATTTTTCGACATGAAGGGTTTCTAGATATGCAAACCAGATATTAACATTTTTGTTCCATATTTGTCGCTACCATCACCACTAGAGACTACGAACCTTGAGCTCGTCACCGCTACTAGATCTAAAAACGAGATCCTCAAATTTGAAAGTCATCATCACCTTGAACTCGTCACCGCTACAAGAGACGACCTACCAGGCGGCGACACTACGACTTGCTTTAACCGGAGGAGTAGGAGCTCATCGTCTGAGGAGGAGATTGGAGACCCAACATATCATATCTTATAGCGATATTAAACCCAGTTGAAATTGTCGCACCCCAAACCAGAATGGCAGAAACGTCTGGGGGTTGATGACTTCCATATACTGTATCATAAGAAAATGAATAATAGTGATCAAAGCCATACAATCATCATATTGATAATTAAGAAGTTTAGATTGTATCTAAAAACATTGTTTACTTGATACCAAATACATATGACAAAAGTAAATGACGTGACGCTGCGACGCCCCATCCTCAAAACCCTTTTGGTTACTTGTCTGCTGATTTCCTGAGAATACAAGTGGTTTTGAAAAAGTGTTAACAATTAAGTTACTGAGTTCATAAGAGTTTTGTATGAGAAAAATCGATAACTTTTCCATGTAAAAATGATAGTGTATATTTCCAGAAAATCCAATATTTTCTTTAAAAGTGAGCTCCATATCTTAAAACTCAAAGACCAAAATGTAGTTTGTACTGTACTGAACTAGAAAATAGTATTATGTAGTTTGTACTGTACTGGACTGGAAAATAGTATTATGTACTGTACTTATAATATTTTCTTAAAAAGACCAAAATGTCTTAAAACTCAAAGACCAAAATGTAGTTTGTACTGTACTGGAATATAGTATTATGTAGTTTTATAATTATATAAAATTGATTGAATGTAAGTTAGCCCCATAAACTAAATGTATTGTTAATACCACATGTGAGTTATTATAACTGTGCTAACGACTAGTTGGCCTGCTACGACGTTCTTCAGGCGACAGAATGTTAGACATTTGTCACCCTAGACCTGCTGATCTAACTGTAGCTAACAACTTAGGTGCAAGGTTGCCATTCCCGTATAGATCTATACACACGTGTCATGCTCTCTTACCGAGACTCTGCTTATAATTCAGGAACTTTAGTATGTACTCAAGTAAGTACGATGAAGGTTATGTCTCACAAAATTGTATTAACAGGTTTATGTCTAGTGTATTGAAAACCCTTTTTGTACGTGCAAGTATTACCTTTCCATAGTAAATACATAGTTTAAAATAATTATACCTTTAAATAATTATATGTTTCGTACAAAATGATAAAGTAGTATTTGTGACCCATAAACTATACCAATTATAATTTATTATGAATGTTTGTTAAGTCCATTTATATAATCAAATATATATAAACACATGTAAGTTATCATGTCTAGATGTTTTAAAAGATTATAACATATAAACTTATATCTAACACAAGTATAAAAACATTTAGTACGATAAAGACAATTTCTAGTTTTTGACTTTTCTGTCCATGTTTTTAAAAAAATTATAGAAAAATCATCGTAAGTCGAAATTTGGATCCGTAAACTCTCAGGGCTTAGAAAATGAGTCTATTTTGTCCATAATATTTTTTTCTGACCTTAAGTGGTTCTTAACCAAAGTGAAAATGTTTATTTTTACAGACCGGTCCGAAAATGTTCTGAAATAATAGACAGTTTTGTAAAAATCACCATAAATTGTAGAAAAATCGTATGAATACGTGTGAGTAGTCCTTAAAAAGATATAGACATGAACTATTTGCATATTGAACAGTTTTGCAAGATATTAAGTTTAAGTAGGATAAAACAGTCCATGAACAAACCACAACTTTTCTGTAAAAAACTGATTTTTAAGCTTAGATATGTTTTAGTGAAATAACTTGTATTTTTAGTTTGCAAAGCCTTTAGATCATCCAAAAAAGATTTGTTTACTTGTATTCCCCCTCCCTCCCCCCCCCCCCCCCCCCAAAAAAAAAAAAACTTGTAAAAACTCGAAAATGAAGGGGTACGAACTCACATTTAGTAGATTTCTTAGTGGATAAAGAGATGAAGATGAAGATCCTCAAGCTTAGAACACTTGAAGTTGGTATTATCCTATGGATTTTAACACATGTTAATTAATGTGTATAAAAGTAACAAAACTAGTATGAATGTGTGTAAAATCACTAGATTAACAAGGAAATGCTTACCAAAAATCTAAGAACCAACTTGTGGAGAATTATCCTTGAAAGAACTTGGGTTGTTCTTGAAGAAGAAGATGAAGAGAGAGGAATGAAGAAGAGTGAAAAAGATGGAGTGGGGGGGGGGGCATCTTTTGGCCGAAAATATAAAGAAGAGGGGAGGGGGTGGGGTGAGATGACATGCATGGTTACATGTTGAATAAAAGCTTTGATACATGTTGGGTAAAAGTCTTGTTAGGAAAAGATGCAACCATCTTGTCCCCAAAGTCAACTCTTCCTTATTTTTATAAAAATCTAGTTATTTTATAAAAGTGTGCCATTTTTTTTTTATAAAAAAAGGGTGATATTTTATACAAAGTATGGTATAATAATACAAAATTACTAAATTTGAATCATAAAATTTCAAATTATCATAAAAACCTCACTATTATCAAAGTAATTAGTATATCGTGTTATGAATATTATTTTTGCTAAAATAATATTGTAACATCCGGATTCCCAGGTATAATATTTTATTCAATTATTTTGGAGTTTGTAGAGGGACTCAGCGAGTTGGTGCTTAGACTCGCTGAGTAAGGTCGCGGATTCTCATCCGGGTTCATGACCGGACTCGGCGAGTCCATGAGTGGACTCGGCGAGTCCACGCTGTTTAATGAAACCCTAATTTCCTGGGTTTCGGACCTATTTAAAGGCCCTTAGGGCCGTCATATGCGGCTACCAAACCCCAGAGAGAGACCCTAAGAGATCTAGAGCGTTTGTGAGGGAGGAGAGGCCACTTTTGATCATTTTGTTGGTGTAATTGCAAAAAGGAGGTGACCAAGGAAAGAGGAGGCTAAAGGAGGAGCGGATCTGGTGATTTCAGAGTTCAGAGACTTCATCTTGAGGTATTTATTCAGACCTTCTTCAGTTTTGGTGTTGATTCTTAGAGTTAGGGTTTTCTAACCCCTTTAGAGAATGGATATGTGGAGCAATTGGTCCCTTATCGAGTTTATGCTTTGGATATGGACTCAAAGAGGTCCAGAGACCTTAACCCTTGGAGCTTTATGGGTTATTTTGGGAGCCATGAACTTAGGAGTTTATTTTTTGGGCTAAATCACCAAGTAGGACCATGTAGATGTTATATGCGTGTCAAGGTCTGAGCTTTACGTGATTATCATGCTTGGGAAGGTCAGATTTATGAATTTAAGGAACAGATCTGACCTCAGGAGGTCAATGGAGTTTTTGCATGGCATGAACTCGCTGAGTCCAAAGATCAGACTCGGCGAGTAGGGTTAGGGTTTCCCGTAAATCACTCAGCAAGTAGACTCACCGAGTTAGGGGAATAACTTAGTGAGTCAGAGAGGGATTAGAGGACTGGAGTTCAAGACGGAACTCGCCGAGTTGATCTTGAGACTCGGCGAGTTGAGTCGGGGTATCCCCGCGATTCATGCCAGGTGTGACTCGTCGAGCAAGGGGAGGGACTCGACATGCCAAGTGAGACTAGGGAGTTAGTGGACACGTGTAGACTCGACGAGTTGCCCTAGTGCACTCGACGAGTCGGGTCAAAGTTGACCGTTAACTTTGGTTGACCCTTATGGTTTGGTCAACAATGAGGGCCTTTGAGCCAAAGGAGGGGTAAAATGGTCTTTTACCCTTCTGAGGGTGCCTAGAGAGGGTTGAGTCTAATCCTGAGAGTTATATTTATGAGAGTATTACTTTATGTGATTAGGTGGAGGCTAGATCGTATTTCTACCGAGTCAGAGATTTACCGAGACATCTGAGGTGAGTCTTCTCACTATACTTTACCTTGAGTGGTAATTAGAGTCATGTGACAAAGTTACTGTATGCTATTATGTGATGTGTTGCACTGCATTATTTCTATGTGATTTATGCCATGTGTATATCAGAGATAGAACCGGAAGGTTCACAGAGCTAGGACTAGAGGGTCCATAGAGTTATAGCCTCGAGTGGCTAGTATGTGTTATGTATGGTATTTTGGGGAACTCACTAAGCTTTATGCTTATAGTGTTATGTGTTATGTGTTTCAGGTACCAGTGATGATCGCGGGAAGGTGTCGGCATGATTCGTACACACGCATGGGATTTATGTATTTTGATCTTGAGAAATATTTTGTGAAACGAAGTTATGATACAATGGGATCTTGTTAATAAATGTGTTTGGAAAAATGTGTTTAAAAATGCGAAAATTTGTTTTAAATTTTACGGTGTTACAATTTGGTATCAGAGCCTTGGTTTGAGGGATTTAGATGCATCTTCGGGCGTATCTAAACTCAAACTGAGGATTTGAGGAAAATTTTGATAATAAAGTAATTTTTTTAAAGAGTAAAAAGAGTTTTGAGACAAACAGAGCAGAGCCGTGTGTACGATCAGCCATCGCCCGAACAGTGATTTCCCAAAATACCCTTACAATAAGTTTTAAAGGAAACGTTACACTATGCTATATGATGAATTATATTATGAATGCTAGAGTAAGACTGGGTATTCTTATTAGGACTAGAGTGGCCTAATATATGATGCCTTAGTATAGGGGTTTTGCTACTAGAGATGCTTGAGAGTGTTTAGATAGCAGCAAGTAGCTTATAAGAGATCTGCTAGTGAGTAGCACATGATTAGAGAGAATAGTGTACTTAGGATTTGGGACTCTGGGAGGAGGACTTGGTGTGAATGTTGAGTCGGTGTGGTCGGTAGTATTGGGCCCGTACTACCGAAGGCATCGAGTCAGTGCGCAACCCAAGTAAGAATCCTTAGGGTACTAGAGATCAAGTAGGGTTAGGATATCGAGTGTGTGTATATCCAAGCAAATTACTGATATCTTATGTTGTCTTTTAGAGAGGCATCATGGTAGGGACACGCCACAGACCAGGGACCAGTGGAGGGGATGTGAGCGACGAGGAGCTCCGCCAGATGATTCCTGATGAGGTAGCTGCTGCCATCCGCGATGAGATTCCAGAGATGTTTGGGTCTATCAAGACCAACCTGATAGAGACATTCGACGAGAGATACGCTGCTCTTTTCTGATGCTGCTGTTGCTGCGGCCACTGCAGCTGTAG